CGGAGATGCAAAACAGTTCTGAAGTGGCTTTACAGGTAATATTTTTGTTGCCAAAATTAAGCAAGAGAGAATTTTTGTCTAAAATATAACACAATATTAAGTTCGTTTTTTTTAACTGTTGTATAAAATCATATCACATGCTATTTGTGACAAGAACAGCACTCGTGTGATATTGCTTAACTACATCATATGATATAAATATGGTGGCTGTAACGGAAGTAGTAAGCATTATTATTGCATGAGAGTGCATGTGTTGCAGTACCAGCGTGTTGGACGTCTTTCCTCCCTCGAGAGTGATCTCCAGATCTGACAGAGCGGCATCAACCTCATCGACCTCCTTCTCACTGTTGTTCATGTGATTGTCTGAAGACATGATGGACAGCTTGTTGATGTGGTACTGCAAATAAAAACAATCACAATAAACACGGTGTTGCCATTTACTAATTCATCATATTAATATCGTAAATTACTTATTGTAATACTTAACCCTTTCCCACATCTAGCATTCTCCCAATTAAATAAAACTGAATTTGTAAATGTTACAATGTACTTATTTAGAACTTGTTTGTATTTGTGAAATGTAACATTTATTTAGCCTTTCACACATGTCCTAAATTTCAGGGCTGCAAAACTCTTACAAAACACATGGAAAACAAAACTAATAAAATATTTACTTTGACCTCCTGAGATGGACAAATACGCGTGTTCTGTCCCACATTTTGCAAGCTACACTGTTACTAGATGATTTTCCCAGTCAAATAAAACTGAATTGGTAAATGCAAATGATCATGTTTAATGTGTTTTTTAGGTTTTAAACTTTTATGCATTTGTGAAATTTAACAATTATTTCATATTTGTTCTATAATTTTCATGAATTGGCTTTAAATTGTATTCACACATGCTGCAAAAACTGCAAAACTCTTACAAAATAAAGGCAAAATTAAAAAGCTAATGCATTATTTACGGGATGAACATCATTTTTTATATAAGTGTTATTTTAGCATCATTGATACACTACTATATATATATATTTTTTTTTAAAATTTTGAATGGGTTTTTAATTCTAAATAAAATATTTTCAGAAATACTTTGAATATATTTATTGTATATTTTTTCATTTTAATTTCAGTAAAAAAAAATTTAATTTTGCTGTTTGATTGGTCTTTTTTATTATTATTCTTAAATTATTATTCTCTCTCTCTCTCTATTTTTTGATAGACACGAGATAGATCAAATTATTTTAGTACACCAAAAAATGAGAAATGTTGCCTATAACATTTATTTCAATGATACTAAAATTATTTTTTTTAAGTATGGTTTTAGTTAACTATAATACTGTTTATGTATGAGTTTAAAGCCTGTGACCTCATTCTACTAAACGATCCCCATGGTGCTACAGCGAACAGTTGGACTACAGAAGCATATTTCATTGTACGCTGATGACAGCTCCGCTTTCAAAATGTAGGCTAAAGGCATTTTCATGTCACCATCTCTCTGCTCAGATAAGAGTAGTTAGTAGGTGAATGACACACGGATTTCTCTCAACAGTTAACAGCCTCGCTATAAAGCTGGCTAAACTTAGAGCTGCTGATGTTTGACGGCGCTGAGCTCTTCTACCCAGAGACACGGTGCAGGTCCAGAGCCAGACTCGTATCCTCTGACTGAACGTGGTGTGGACTGATGGGGAGGGACAGACCGGACTAATTTAAACTCGCTGTACGTAAACAGAGAAAGTCGACATAACTGAAACACCTCCACAAAACCCTGCTGGAGCAACCCACACCCCTCCTTAGGCTGGAGACTCCGGGTGGTCTCCCATGTCCCACCTCCCTCGAACAGACGCCCGCTCTATATTTACATGAAGTGAACACAGTGAGGCGTCCTGAGGTGTTGTCACTCAACATTTATGAGGGTCTGAAATAGCAGGGTCATCGTTGGCCAAAGGGCCAGAGAAAACAAACGCCGCAGCCAAACGTTTGCAAGCTGCAGATGCTACGCAGTCAGGCACAGAGCCCATCCAATTCATTAACAGGGCCAGAGGACCCGAGTGAAGACTGCAAACTGTCACATGGCGGGCTTACACAGCAATCCTAACAGACAGAGCGTTGGCATAAATTCTGCCGTGGCTCGGACGCACACGTACCTGCAGGGCGGCGAACATCATCATCTCCTCCTCGGTGCATTCGATCTCCTCCAGCAGGATGGCCCACTTGGCCTGCTCATACAGCTGGTTCACCCTGATGGCATCATACTGCAGGGGTCAGGAGAGGGTTAAAAACACGACACCACAACACCACTTTCATCACACCGTCCTGACAAAATGAGTGTGTAGATCCCTTAAAAAAACCTTAAATGGGTCATGAAATGCAATATTTTATAATGTTTCCTAAGGTGCACTTATCATCTTAGTATGTTTTTTTCATTAAAATGGTCATGATGTAGAAATAAATTGACATTTTTTCTTTCTTTTTTTGAAAGAAATGAATACTTTTATTCAGCAAGGATTTGTTAAATTGATAAAAAATAATAGTAAAGACTTTGTTAGAACAGCTTTTATTAGAAAAGATGGTCCCACTTTATATTAAGTGGCCTTAACTACTATGTACTTACATAAAAATAACTACAATGTACTTATTGTGTTCATATTGTATTGCAAAACATTTTTGCTGCTATTGAAGTGGCATACGGGTGGTTAGGGACAGGTTTGGTGGTATGGGTAGGTTTAAGGGTGGGTTAAGGTGTAATTATAAATGTAATTACAGAAATTAATTACATATGTATTTACATGCAGGTATTTTTTAAATATAAGTATGGTATGGGTACAGGGGTGGGTGGGTTAAGGTGTAAGGGATGGGTCAAAGGTGTAATTATAAATGTAATTACAGAAATTAATTACATATGTAATTACATGCAGGTATTTTTTAAATATAAGTACAATGTAAAAACATGTATGTACACAATGCATTGTACCAAATTATTAATTTAAATGTAAGAACATAGTAGTTAAGGCCACTTAATATAAAGTGGGACCGAAAATATTTATATTTTAAATGGATGCTGTTCTTTTTAACTTTTTATTCAAAGAATCCTGAAAAAAGTATCACAGGTTTAAAAAAAAATATTAAGCAGCAAAACTGTTTCTAACATTGATAATAAATCAGCATATTAGAATGATTTCTGAAGATCATGTGACACTGAAGACTGGAGTAATGATGCTGAAAATTCAGTTTTGATCACAGAAATAAAAGTTTATTAAAATAGAAAACCCCATTATTTTAAATTGGAATAATATTTCACAATTTACTGTTTTTTTTCTCTGTATTTTTGATCAAATAAACGCAGACTTCTTTAAAAACATTAAAAATCTTACTGATCCCAAACTTTTGAATGGCAGTGTATATGTGCTAAAGTTGGTTGGTTGGCGTTTTAATGCCATGCCAGTTTCCTTGTCTATTTTCATGGCGAGTAACATGTTAAAATATTATTACAAGCTATTTAAAAACCTATGTTCTTTATAACAAAAACTCCTAAATGGATTTGGGTTTGACTCTTTCATAATAATGAATAAAAATAATAATAAAATATTTGAAAGTGTTTGACGAGTAATATCATTTCCTAAATTTAATAAAATACGTTTAAGAGATACTGGACTCTGGCATGAGGAGCATAACGGTGGATTTTCATTTGATATTAAGAACTCGTGTGTGATTGTGAAATGTCCTATTCGGCATCATGCATATATGATTATAAGTGCTAAGGTGCAAAACACACTGACCTTTGGGTTGAGGTCAAAGAAGCTGTGATACTTGAACCGGAGCAGAAGAACCTCGTTCTCCTTCACATCCTGCTCCATCAGTGATCTGGAGGAGTCCAGCCACCTTCACGAAGACATTCAGAGGAATATGAGCGCAAGCCTTCCTGAATCAGAGTCTTCACTAGGGTTGGGTACCGAAACCCGGTGCCATGTAACCGGTATGTACTAGAACCGAATCAGAA